AATTATTCTTACTTATGAGTACGTAACACTACAAAAACTATCGATAAGATACGATAAGAGGAAATTTTCGAAGCTAATAAAAATATCAAATACCTTTTGGCAATTCCATCAGTACACTAACTAAAATCAGCGAAATATGGCACGTTTCGGGGTGTTCGCGGTTGTTTTTCTCGTAAATGTGACATTAATTGCCATATCGTCACTTGTTCTTGTTCAGCCAGCGAATGGCTCGAATATTTTGGGTGTCTTCCTAAGTCCCAGCCCGTCCCATCTGGTCATTCATATGGCAGTGGTCAAGGCACTTGCCGAACAAGGACACAACGTTACAGTCGTTACCTTATACAAACCAAAGACTTATCACGAAAATATAACAAATGTCCTAATTGCTCCAACGGAGCAACGCCAAGCAAAGTTTGATGCAGCAATAGCAGAATTATCATCGAGCGTTAAAACAAATTTTATACAAAACATGGCAAGATTGTTGAACGCCAGTAGAACGGCTATTGATATGCAATTCGAGGCGTTTGTGGATAGACGATTTACCGCACTCTATGAAAATAATGACAACAAGTTCGATGTGGCCATACTGGGCTACGTATTTAATGATTTCCAGGTGGCAGTTGGCGCTAAATTCAAATGCCCCATAATAATGACCTGGGTGCAACAACCCATGAATTATGTGGATCATTTTGTAGGAAATCCACATGAAATTTCCTATGTTCCCACAATGATGAATCCATTGGCCACCGGAGAAGTTTGGAATTTTAAAAAACGTTTGCAAAATTTCTTTCTAACAACAACTTTAAGGATATCTTCATTTGCTTTGGATTATTCTATGAAAGGATATTATAAGTATGTTAAGCCATCCGAAATTGATTGCTTAAATCATATTCATCTATTTTTTCCAGCAAACTCGTAGAAATGGATTCAAGTTTACCACCGTTCGAAGACATGAAAAGAAACGTCTCGCTTCTGTTTTGCAACAGCCATTACAGTGAGGGACCAATAAGGCCACTGGCGCCAGCAACGGTGCTAATTGGTGGCATACAAGTCAAAGACAAGCCGGATGCACTGCCTAAAGTAAAAAATTTTAATCAAATTCTCTTTTTTTTTGAAAGCACTTAAATGAGTTTTGTGTTCTATTGTAATTGCAGAACATTGCAGACTTCCTTGATGCTTCACAACAAAATGGCGCCATTCTCTTTAGTTTGGGCACAAACGTTAAAGAGTCGTATGTCAAAGCCGAAGCGTTTCAGATCATTTATAAGGTACTTTCTTCGCTCAAACAAAATGTGATTTGGAAGTGGGGAGATTTAGCGAATACACCGGGCAATGCCTCGAATATACTCTACCAAAATTGGCTGCCACAAGATGATATACTCGCTCACCCTAATATCAGATTGTTCATCACACACGCCGGTAAGGGTGGTATGGTGGAGGCGTTATATCATGGTGTACCCATGGTTACGATACCAATGTTCGCAGACCAACCTACAAACTCAAAGAAAATTGTGTCGGAAGGATATGGCGTGGAAGTGGATAAATTGGAAATCACCGAGCCAATATTTCGAAATGCGATCTCCGAGGTGCTCACGAATCCCAGCTACGCAAATAAAGTGAAAACGTTCTCCAGGCTGTATCGCGATCGACCGTTGAGCGCCAAGGAAAGTGTAGTCTATTGGACGGAATATGTGATACGACATCGAGGCGCTGCACACTTACAGAGTCCTTTGGTGAAAATGAACTACATTCAAAGTGCCAATTTAGATGTGTATTTGCTCATTTTGGGTACACTTTTCGGTGTTTTCAAATTGCTTCTATTAGTGGCGGGATATTTGTGGAAACGTTGTCGTGCAGCGAACAGGTCAAAATCGAAGGACGAGTAAATGCGAGTTGTGGAATTTATTTAGCTTTAAAATCTAAGTACTAGTGTATACTTGTATTTATGATAAGCAATATCTTACTTACATTTTTATTGTAATACAAATGAACAAAGTATGGAAAATTAACAAAAAAAAAATTTATTAAATTAAAACACCTTATGAACTACATAACCGGTTCAAAAACTAATGATATCGAAATAAAAACAATTAATTTATCTATCAGTTGATGTTCATAATTTATATGCTTTTTTAAATTTTGCATCCAAAAATACTAGAAAACGAAAAAAAAAATTTCGTATTTTTTCATATATATCATACAGAAAGTACAAGTGAGTACTTTTAATTTGATGCACATATTTTATTATGATCTGCTATTGAGTTTTAAGAATTTGGTGTTAATTTAGTGATAGTGAAAGAAGTTCTGCGCAAATATCCTACGATATTACACATTTACCGCGTCTGGTTCCGCGTCTGGCAACACCGACATTGTTGACTAGAAAAAATCAGCTGTTTATATTTATGATATCTATAATCGGCGATAAATAGTTAATGTGGTTACGGTTAATGGCAATGGTTATGGTTTTGGCGGTATGGTATGTCACCACTAATTTAACCTTAATGCCGTACAGTGGAGATTTTAAATTTATTTCTTTTATATAAAAGCTAGTGGAACTCCTTATCAATCGGTGGAAGCCGATTTTTGAAAAAAGTTAATTTCAGGCAGTGTAAAGTAGTTGTAAATTATTTTTATTGTGTTATAAATAGTTATTTGAACATATGCTGGAGACTATTAAAGTACGCCCATTTCCTAATAGATTGGCGCTTACATATTTTTTTAGTATTTGGCCGAGCTTCTCCTCCGATTTGTGGCGTGCGCCTTGATGTTGTCACTACACCACCGTGGCCTCCACCCACTTCCTAAAAATTGATTAAAAACCAAGCTGTTGCTAAGAAGCTAGTTTGAATATAAATATTGGGTAAATATTCAACCCAACATCAAAAAAAAAAAGTTTTCTTCTAATAGCGGTCGCCTCTCGGCAGGCACTAGCAAACCTCCGGGTGTATTTCATTTGTGCAAGCTGTTTCCTGCAGGGAACCTAAAGGCTTACCCATTCATACAGATGGTGAATGCGAATTTATAAATATGCATTTACTATGCAAATATGTATGTATGTATGTGCATATACTTTTTTATTATTTACTTTTTAATTGACTGTTCACCATAAAGCTTACTTATGTACGCTTGGACTTTGAGTGATTTTTATTTGCAATATGCTTTTCGCTTATGATCATTACATCCATATCGTACCGTTGCTGCAAGAGTATCATAACTCAAGAAAAACTGCTTTAAAGCCTACAGTTTATATACGCTCCCATTTTAAATAACAATACACATTTTCTTCTGTTGAGCTATTCTTAATCGATGCTGCTATTAACTTTTTACACAACATTCATTTCTGATTGCTTAATGCAAAAAAAAAAACTTTTGGAAAAGACACTCTTACAGCAAAACTACGATATGCATATAACTGTATGTACATTAAGGCGTATCACGAAGAAAGTTTATCGTGCGTCAGTTTTATTTGAATATTTATTTAAATTTTGTCGGACAGAATCGCATAGGTGTGGGTATACCTTTATGCGGTAACATACATAAAAGAAAAAACAAAATATTCCAACGAATTGATAACCTCCTCCTTTTTTTCGGTCGGTTAAAAATCTAGGGATAGTACTTCCAAAAAGGTATAAATTAAAACGGTTTTGAAAGCCAAAACTGTTTAATGGCCAATTATAGTGCTGAGCGAGACCCTCTCACCGACATAAAGATTTTAAAAATCGGATAAAAAATAAAAAAGTTATAGCAAAAACCGCGATCTAGCAGTTTAGCGGCTGCTTATAAAAAAAATTTGTTTACACCCAAAATTTTCTCTCGATATAAGTGTTTAAACCTGAAACACGCTAAACTTTTTTTCATTCATATGTCGTGATACGGCTTAATGTACATAACTGTGCCGTTCAATTAAAGAAGTTTAAGTGACTTTACAACAGTGTTGGCCAGCGAAAGCTTTTATTTTGTGTCAGGCCTACACAAATTAATTGTACAGAAAGCTTTTAAAAGTTTTGGCACGCGTGCCTATGAAATGGCCAGCATTGCTTTAGAAGGTTTGACTTTGAATTAAAAAAAATAATCAGTTTCCCTGGAAAATATTCATATTTTTATTAAGGTTCTATTAAAAGGGAATCTTGAACAACACCTATGGCTAGATAAAGGTTAAAACATTGTTTGGGAACCCGATGAATGTTAGTTTAAAGGGAAAAGGGATTATCCCGATTTAGGCTACTTTAACTGAACGGCACAACGCTGTTTCTCTGATAAAAAAAAAAAGTTCAAAACAATAAATTTATTTTCTTTCTACATACATATGTATGTATCATACATACATATGAAACTAGCGACCGAGAATTTATTGACCTTGAACTTGATAAACTTAACTGTTTGGGTATCTCACCCAACGTGAATTTTTTGAGTCGTTTTGTTTCGAATACTCATTTGATTTAAACATATGTATGTATATCTATTTAACTAAATAGATATATATATGTATGTATGTACAGTGTATAGATGCTACTCATGATACAGCCGCCTCAGTAACTTGCAGGGTCTAAACTTGAATACATATGTACATATATGTATGTAGATGCATTCTAGAGTAATACCACCAGCTACACCTATCTACTATTTATATCTACAAAATCTATATGAATTAGACGAACTGATAAGAGGCAAACAGACAGTCGACGCATGACTTTGTTTAATTGTGGCCCCAAAGAAAATTTCTAGCCAATTTCACACAAAATTGTGCAATTACCAACAAAGCCATTGAACATGCATACACATGTATTTGATTAGAAATACATGTACATACATGCACACACAGGTGTTTAGTTTGCTATATGTATATCTAGGTATTTGCATTCATTACACCAACAAAACTTTTCTTATCATCGTCATTATGAATGAAGTGCATACTTATGTGCATAGCATATACAATCGATGCCATAAAATAAAAAACTGTCGGATCATAGTGACTGTTTCAGTTTGTTTTGTAAAATCAACGAAAAATGAAGTGTTGCTGCGCGGCGAATGCTAGCCAACTGATCGCTATCGCGACAATTGCATTTATGGCTATATCGACAGGTGTCCAGCCAGCGCACAGTGCAAATATACTGGGTGTTTTCCTGAGTCCCAGCCCTTCTCATTTAATCGTACACATGTCGATTATGAAAACACTGGCAGAGCGGGGTCACAATGTCACTGTCGTCACCGGGCAAAAGCCGAAGGTGAATCATGAAAAGATACACAATATTATAATTAAGCCGGCGGAGGCGCTTCAACGTGAAATGAATGAAGAATTGGCCGGCTTGGGTGCGAAAAAACAAAGTATGCTGGAAATGTTGACGAGAGTGATAACTGCCGATACTGTAATGTTTACTATACAACTGGATGTACTCAAGAATGAACGATTGCAAGAGATCTACGAAACCAATTATGATTTGGTCATTATGGGCTACTTCATGAACAACTTTCAATGGATTGTTCCGGCCAAACTAAATTGCCCGATGATACTCAGTTGGACGGGACAGCCGATGGAGATGATTAATGAATTAGTGGGTGTACCGCACGAGGCATCTTATGTACCGAATGTATTTATGCCGTACAAAAAAGGAGAGGTTATGAACTTCAGCTCACGTCTGTTTAATCTTTTTGGCAGCACAGCATTTCGTTTATTCACATCGATATTGGATATTAGTTTGGCGGCGCGCTACAAGTAGGTGAAATCAGCATTGCGGTGCGTTGAATTGGTAAAAAACATTTCTTTTGTTTTTGAAACTTGCAGAGAACTGGCTGCCGGCGATACCAATATCCGTACATATTCCCAGATGAAAGAAAATGTTTCGTTAATCTTTTGCAATAGCCATTTTAGTGAGGGGCCGATACGGCCGTTAGTGCCAGGAATTGTTGAGATCGGTGGCATACAAATCAAAGACAAACCGGACCCATTGCCAAAGGTAAAAATAATAGTTGCGATCCCGTACGAGTCCGAACTAGTCAAAAATAGTCAGCATAAGTCGGTTCTCTGACAATGAGAGGACAAACAAGAGAGTAAATAAAGGCCTCTCTCTGTCAGAAGTTACCCGTTTCAGTCCGAATATTTTTTGCTGGTAAATTTCGGTAAATGTGTCAAACGATCAGCTGTAGCGTGTTTGACAATCAAATTGTAAACAAAAGAAAGTGCACTCTGCTAATGCATGTTGAAAAGTATTTAATTACTGGTTTAAGTGCATTCTGTAGAATTTGCAAGTATTTTTGGTTATTTACATGTGTGAGCTGAATGTGTTTACATACAAAATAAGCAAAAATTTACAACCGAGATTTTAAGGTTATGTTGAAGTTGTCAGAAGCTACAATTTTTTACTAGAAAGCGATCCCGTAGTTTTCAGTGTTACTCTCTCGCTCTGCGCGAATTTTTTTGTTTTGATGGTTTTACTAGTTTTAGTCCGAGGAATACGGGATTGCACCTAATACTTTAAAATTTCACTTCATTGAAAAAAAAAAACTCCAATAGACCAATTGATTTTCAAAACCTGTTTATTTCTCAGAACCTTGCAGACTTTCTGAATGCCTCTAAACCAAATGGTGCCGTACTCTTTAGTTTGGGTTCCAATATGAAGGGTTCCAACGTACAACCGGCTACAGTGCAAATCATCTACAAAGTACTTTCCTCGCTCAAACAAAATGTGATTTGGAAATGGGAGGATTTATCAAATACACCGGGCAATGCCTCGAATATACTCTACCAAAAATGGTTACCACAAGACGACATCCTCGCCCACCCTAATATCAAACTTTTCATCACACACGCCGGCAAAGGAGGCATGGTGGAGTCCATATACAACGGCGTACCTATGGTTGCAATGCCAGTATTTGCCGAGCAGCCGGCAAATGCCGAAAAAATTTTCTCCTCCGGTTATGGTTTACAGGTGGATATTTTAAATTTGAAAGAAGAACCTTTCCGGGAGGCCATTACGGAGGTGCTGAATAATCCAGTTTATCGGAATAATGTACGGTCATTTTCGAAACTTTATCGCGATCGCCCCTTGAGTGCCAGGGAAAACGTTCTCTACTGGGTGGAATATGTGCTGCGGCATCGTGGGGCCGCTCACATGCAAAGCCCCTTGGTGCGCATGAATTTCCTGCAGTCCAGCAGCTTAGACATCTTCCTAACGATTATTGTGGCGCTCTACGCGATCTGGAAGTTGCTGAAGTGGGCGCTTAAAGGGCTACGTAAATTAATTTGTTTAACGATAGGAAAATTAAAGCCGAAGCAGTCGAAGAAATCAAAAAAAGAATAATGTAGAAGAATAAATATATATGTATGTACATATACGCATTTTTGAATAAAATCGTGTTCGCGCAGTCGTTCAAACTCATATATTACATATATGTATTTAAAAAGATTTTAGTTTGAAAATACTTTTGAGAAGGATTTCGACCTGTTTAAAGATTCGAATTTTGTTAACAAGTTTTCTGAAATATTAAGATAGGGGTGTCAATCGAAAGAGATTCATGAAAGCTTTAGTTTGAAAATATCTTTGATTAGGCTTGCCAACTTTTCGATAAGTCATATCCACCCAACTAAGTATATATGTATGTATATTATACCAGCCAATACCCGGCGTGCTTCGCGACGCCTCGTGAGCAATTTTGCACCAACGTTAAGGAGCAACCGTATTGAACCTCAAATGGGAAAACCTCTTCAGGGGAAGCCGATTTGAAACCGCAAAAATTTCCCGATTTGCGAATATTGAAGAAAGTAATTTTGCAAAATATTTGCGATTCCGAAAATGGGAGCACGGCTGATTATTTTGTAACAAAAGCAAAAAAAAAAAAATCAAAACAAACGAAAGAATCGATATATGTACTCACGAAACAACACCATTATTCCAGAACCCGTATTTTCGTAATTCGTAATGAACGAAAAAAGAAAAATCCACATGCAGCCTTGTGAGAATCCGTGCAGCATTGCCAGCTATCAGTTGTTTTTCGAAGACAGCTGTATGAAGGAAAACAAAGTGGAAAGGAACTAGAAAAACACTCATGAAGAGCTTATTTATAGTAAAATTGTTTGATTTAACATATTTTTAAGGAATTATAGCAGCGGAGTAAGAGCGCGCTATGGAAATGATTTCACAAAGATGTGTGGAGCTATCGGGCATAGTAACTATGGACGCATCTACATATGTCAGATTCTAGTTGATTTGTTGAACCACAAGTTGAACCTATGCCTAAATAACAGGTTCTTAATCCAGTTAATGCAATAACAGCTTCTTCCGAGCCATTGAAAATATTCACTTTGTTAGGTTCACCACCTGTTGCGCTTGCTTCTGCCTTCGGCCGCGCTTGGGGATTAAATATAACCCTTACTAAGTAGAATTCTCCTTTCTGTCTTGCCGGAGAAGCGGGGTTCAGAATGTCACAGGGTATACAAAAGTGCTTGTGCATTAGAACTCCGGCTACGCCATCCATAGCATTTTAACGCAGAACCCACGTGTACATTTATATCAAGCGTCAAAAAGTGCGATAGTGATCCGAAAATTGTCGCTAACTGGTTACAGAATCTTCCTCTTGAAGTACAAAAAATCTCAATGAATGAATGAAGTACATTTGAGTGAAGTGTAAGAGCGAAAAAAGAAGTACTGTACCTCCGCAAGAAGTACGGTTGGTCACATTAAGCATAGCATTCGGCAAGTTGAAGTGTGATGAGGTGGGGTGGGGTGAGGTGAAAAATATTGCCTAATATGTACAAATGAGAGGGCAATGAACGGCCAAAATTGTTTGTAGTAAAGGAAACGTCATTAACCTTAGTTTTTTCGTTTCGTTTTTTCAATTATAAATGGATTTTTATGGATGGTGGCCGATTTTGACCATCTTTCAGATTTAAACTTTTTCTGATTAAAACTGAGACGCAAACCGCAATTCGTTAATATCGGATAACATTTATCATTTCCGCTCCGTAGTGTAGTGAGCGGGACTGTTGCCAATCTATGCGATTTTTGCTGATTTCTTTATATTTCTAAGCAAAAATGCTACAGGTACCAAATTACAATTAAGTCAGAGTACCATCGGAATTTTTTGGCCAATGTTAAAATAATCTGTTGAATCCAATAAAATGTGATCCAAGTATTAACCGCCTTTACTGAGTTGCCGGTTTATCTGAATTTACCAGGCAACAACTTTTATGATCCCCGTCACTATCGTTATCAGTCGATGGCATAAAATAAAAAAAAACCCATTTGATCATAGTTTTTGATTCAGTTTATTTTGTAAAATCGACGAAAAATGAAGTTTTGGCGTGCGGCAGATATTAGCAAACTGATCGCTATCGCGGCAATAACATTTATGGCTATATCGACAGGCGTCCAGCCAGTGCACAGTGCAAATATACTGGGTGTTTTTCTCAGCCCCAGCCCTTCTCATTTAATCGTGCACATGTCGATTATGAAAACACTGGCAGAGCGGGGTCACAATGTCACTGTCGTCACCGGGCAAAAGTCAAAGGTGAATCATGAAAAGATACACAATATTATAATTGAACCGTCGGAGGCGCTTCAACGAAAATTTAATGAAGAATTGTCCGGCTTGGGTACGAAAAAGAAAAGTATGTGGAAAATGTTGACGAGAGTGATAACTGCCGATACTGTAATGTTTACTATACAACTGGATGTACTCAAGAATGAACGATTGCAAGAGATCTACGAAACCAATTATGATTTGGTCATTATGGGCTACTTCATGAACAACTTTCAATGGATTGTTCCGGCCAAACTAAATTGCCCGATGATACTCAGTTGGACGGGACAACCCACGGAGATGATTAATGAATTAGTGGGTGTTCCACACGAGGTGTCTTATGTGCCAAGCTACTTTATGACTCAAAAAAATGGAGAGGTGCCGAGCTTTAGCTCACGTCTCTTAAATATTTTCGCCAATGCGGCACTACGTTTGTTTATTACGGGCATGGACATTAGACTGGAGGCACGCTACAAGTAAGTGAAAACAGAACAGCGTTGAAAGCAATTATTTTCTAAAAAAAAACTTCTAGGGAACTGGCCGCAGGCGATACCACGCTTCGTACATACCACCAGATGAGAGAAAATGTTTCGCTAATATTTTGCAACAGTCATTTTAGTGAGGGGCCTATACGACCGCTGGTGCCAGGAATTGTTGAAATCGGCGGCATACAAATCAAAGATAAGCCGGACCCATTGCCAAAGGTAAACAAATATCACATTAATATACATATATAGATAAATATTTTTCAGATTTCATAATAGAAACTCAGAAAGATCAACTGATTTTCAAAACCTACTTATTCTTTAGACACTTTCAGACTTTCTGAATGCCTCTAAACCAAATGGTGCCAAACTCTTTAGTTTGGGTTCCATTATGAAGGCTTCCAACGTACAACCGGCTACAGTGCAAATCATCTACAAAGTACTTTCCTCGCTCAAACAAAATGTGATTTGGAAATGGGAGGATTTATCAAATACACCGGGCAATGCCTCGAATATACTCTACCAAAAATGGCTGCCACAAGACGACATCCTCGCCCATCCTAACCTCAAACTTTTCATCACACACGCCGGCAAAGGAGGCATGGTGGAGTCCATATACAACGGCGTACCTATGGTTGCAATGCCAGTATTTGCCGAGCAGCCGGCAAATGCCGACAAAATTGTCTCCTCCGGTTATGGTTTGCAGGTGGATATTTTAAATTTGAAAGAAGAACCTTTCCGGGAGGCCATTACGGAGGTGCTGAATAATCCAGTTTATCGGAATAATGTACAGGCGTTTTCGAAACTTTATCGCGATCGTCCCTTGAGCGCCAGGGAAAACGTTATCTACTGGGTGGAATATGTGCTGCGGCATCGTGGGGCCGCTCACATGCAAAGCCCCTTGGTGCGCATGAATTTCCTGCAGTCCAGCAGCTTAGATGTCTTCCTAACGATTATTGTGGCGCTCTACGCGATCTGGAAGGTGCTGAAGTGGGCGTTTAAAGGGTTGCGAAAATTAATTCGTTTAGCGATAGGAAAATTTAAGACAGTGAAGCCAAGAAAATCAAAGAAATCAAAGAAAGAATAGTGTAGAAGTAGGTATATGTATGTATCTATATGAGCAACTCTTTTTTGCTATGCCTATCTTAGAAAATGCATTATCTTCAGTTTTGAATAAAGAACAAGACTCTATCGCGAAATTGTATTTAAATGAAAACGTATGCCTATTTCGTTTCTACCGAAGAATGCAATCTTCTCTTTGCCCTCTACGCACAAACACTAAGAAGAAGGCGATGAGAAGGCAGCAATTTTTGGAAAAACGAAATCGCCATTAAAAAAGATATACCACGATAAAAACATAACAAGGTAAAACCATAGAGAGTCACTTCCACACTTCCATTCTTTTACGAAATTTCGGAAGAAAATCGGTAAAGAAATGAAAATAATGCTGCTATGTGAAGAATTTCTTGCAGACTTTTTTCAGAATTTTCTTTATTTTTTGTACAGAAATTTCTTTACGAGTTCGTGTCAACCACTTCATATAATTTTCTTTGAAGATTCGGAAAAAAATCGTTACAGAAATCAGATACTCCTAAAGATTTCGTTAAGATTTCGGGAACTTTGGTTTGCAGGGAATTTAATTTTTTTATTTTCAATTTTATATGATTTTAAAATGCTGGCAAGCGTCAGAAAAAAGTCATGGCCGACGAATTGAGAGAATGAATTTACCTTGTAATGTTTTTATCATGGTATCAATTATATAAATAGGCAATCATGTTTCGTTTACACCCCTTTTACGGCTAAACTATACTTCTAAGGTATAAACAATTATATATCATTAGAAAGGTATTTTGATGCTGATGTGCAGGCAATTTTTAAAATTTCAAATTAGTTTAAAATAGAGCGAAAAAATCAATTCAAAAGTCACACCAATACAAGTACCATACATGTACATGGTTGGGGCGGAAATGCCTCCTAAATGTATGCTTTAATATTGATAGTGAATTAAAAAAACGTGCTAACCCTGCAAAAATCGTTGGACCATGTAGTCTATGTGTGGTATATTGGAGTACTTACAAAAGTGTTCCTCTGGCATGCTATAGCACCAGCTTATTGTTACCCGATCACTGCTCGTGTTTTAACGAAATGTGATTGAAGTTCAGCATTTGAAAGCACATTTGCATTTGCTGTAGCTGAACGTGTAGAGATGCTGGCTGTTAGTTCTTAGCTCCCAGCATGTTCGGGTTCGAATGTCGTCAGAGGCAACATGCAATTTTTAATTTTTGTTTTTGGTTTTTATTAATTTCAAAAAAAGCACCTGTGAAGTGAAGAACAAAATCGTGTACAAATGAAAAAATATAACAACAATGTCATTGGAGTTTGTTGGAGTAGTTTTGTGCTACTCTGATGTAATGCAGAGATTGAGTACATGGTCCTGCCCTAGGACATCGCAATGTTAATTGGACCATATTTTTTATATGAATTGTGGTTAATTTTGGAGTACTCCTTGGTCCTTCGGGAGTACTCTTTACATGCATGCATGGAGTAGTCGCGATTTTTGCAGGGAAGCAGCAGTTTAGGAATAAGATGTATGTATGTATGTACATGAATAGATTAGACTCAAAAAAGGAAGAAGGTAAAGTTGAGTATGGAGAAGAAGAAAGGGATAAATAAAGAAATTTAAATAAAAGTAAAGAAACCTAAATATAAACACAAAGAGAAGGAAAATTTAAATACCTAACCCAATAACAATGGTGGGGTGAATATGTAAATGAAGAAAATAACGGACATATTTAGATCAGGATAAAGGAAAAGATAAAGATGAAAAAGAAGATGAAGACCAAGACGAGGAAGAAAATGAAGACGAAGATGAAGATGAAGATGAAGATGAAGATGAAGATGAAGATGAAGATGAAGATGAAGATGAAGATGAAGATGAAGATGAAGATGAAGATCGAAGATAAGGATAAAGATCATAACCCCTTAACTTAACTTAACTTACCTCAACTCATCTCACATCCGCTTAAAAACTTACTCCACCTGAGCTCACCACACATTAATTCACCACACCTTAACTCCCCACACCTAAATTCACCACACCCAATTCACCACACCTCAACTCACCACACCTTAACCCCCACACCTAAATCCACCACATCTTAATTCATCACACCTCAACTTTCTCACCACACCTTAACTCTCCACACCTCAACTCACCATACCTTGATCCACCACACCTTAATTCACCACACCTCAACTTTCTCACCACACCTTAACTCACCACACCTAAATTCACCACACCGTAACTCCCACACCCAATTCCATCACACCGCAACTCACCACACCCAATTTCACTACATGAAATGATATCACTTGATGAGGCATCAAAGGCAACATCATTCGGCATAAAGTAAACCAAAATAAATAAGATTTAGATAGAGAGGAAGAAAGGGATAGGGATAAAAAGGAAATACAACTGAAGATTGTGCGATGTTATATTGTGGTGTGTTATGCTTCATATGTTATGTTATTTAATCTAATTTTATGGTTTAATGGTATGCTAAGTGCTAAGCTAAACTCCCCTCCACTTAACCCATTCCAACTAATGTTTTTTCAGCTCATTCAACTCACATAAACAATCCCTAATTTTATCGGTTGAATTTCAACCGCTGGGCGAACTCTAGTATACTAAAAAAAAGGTAGTTGCGTATGTAACGTATACGCCCTGCAGCATCATACCCAGTCATCTAACACGTTTACTCGCACGCCTTAACTTAAAAGTCATGACTAGTATTTTAAGGTGTAATTTTAATAAACATTAAATAAAGGTGTACGTTTTCTGCAGGGAAATACATTACTTGCTGTTTAATAAAATCAAAACTTCTAAAACCACAAAGATATGTGGTTTTATCGGAAGTTCACAAATGTAACGTGGCAACTTAGCTCGTTTTCACATTTTTCGGTCCGAAATAGTAAAATTTTTGTCCATGACGCACCACGATTTTTGTACAGGTGGGTCAATGTGCCTCGTACACCATTTATATAAATACAAAAAATTATTTTATTTATTTTTTAATATTAAAAAATTTCTATACTTCAAAGCGTTTATAAAAATATATTTACATATATCCACGGATGATTTTTAATTTTTTTCATACGTAAGCACGTCTTCGGTACCATAAAAAGATTCAAACACAGTTCTGTATAAAGTTTGACTTAAGTGGTTTTGATTAAAATAACAAAAAAAAAATTTAACCGCGTGCGGAATTTGTTTATTTGCATATGTGCATACATAAAAATGCATCTACATATGTATATGTATGTAAGTATGTATGTACAAACATTTTTATGCATTTCTCTTTTTGCGTGTTTATAATATTTTTAAGGAAGAGTTTACTAATTGTCGACTAAAATATGGTTTACAAAATCTTTGTAAATTTATTAGTCTGTTCCAATAGCAGTCCGGTTTACAGGATTTAGTCAGAACTTACAGGAAGTCGTTCCTATTGACATAAAACCTGTAAGTGGGAACACATTTGAGAGAGTAACTGAGCAACTGTTCCTAGTCAGAAGTTACAGGATTTAGTCCGGAGTTTTTTTTCCTGTAAGTTCATGAAAAGTGTCACACGATCAGCTGATTTACATGTGCAAACAAAAATAGAAAGCGGTGTAAGCAAAGAACCTTATATTTGTTAAAAAAAATGGAAGTAAACCACGAAATATTTGAATATGTATAGATTTTAATAATTATTTAGTGATATTTCAGCCAAATCAGTGTTGTACCAATGACATGTAAACAAACCGACTGACGTTTTTACAGGAAATAGTGCTTTTGCGTTCCCGTGCCCTTCTGCATCTGTTCTTCTTTTACTCTCACTTGAGAGAGTAAAATTGTAGTTTGACAGTTCCACAGGTTTTAGTCCGAGGTTCAAAGGAACAGACTATTTAATTATTACTAACTATCTCTCTGCGCTCGCGCTGTTAAAAAGTAGTGGACTTCTAGAGCAATCTATGTTAAAAATGTAAGGTGGTGAACTTCTAGAGCGTTTCTGCTCTATTACAAAATATCAGAAAATCGAGCATTGCAGCTCAAGGCGAATTTATACAAGGTGGTGTTGATGGCGAATTAAATTTTCGCCGCGGTACTACTAAATGTCAAAATGATGTATTTGTTGTAAACAAGGCGAATTCATTTTACAACAAACACATTTGGGGTGTTCACAGTTCGTTCCAAATTATGTCTGAAAATGTAGACGTCTACATTTTGAGACATCTTAAGCATCAAACTGTGAGCACCCCTTTCTACCAGTCGTCGCAAAATCGTCTCAAAACTTTGCTGGTGTTGCCAGACATTTCCTCTTTGCGTGCATTTTTTATATATCGCCTTTCGATTTTGTTTCTGAAAAATTGTAATTATTTAACTTAATTCCTAATATTTGTTATTTCTTTTCCTTGATTTGTTTCTTTTCATCAGAAATTGCATTCAAATTAAATGCGAAAAACAAAAAACGTGCCCAATAAATAAAAAAAATGTGATTAGTATTGCCATAATGCAACCCTGCTGCGAGGTTGCAAAATGTAGACGCGTAAAAAACATACCTTTGAGTGTGACAAAATGTAGACGGCGTCGTTTTCCAATTTTGTATTGGAAACAACAACACCACAGATTTTACGGTTAGAAAACGTCTTAAAATGTAGACGTCTACATTTTGAGACACTATTTGGAACGAACTGTGAACACCCCAATTATTTTGACATTAAGACGTACCTCGGCGAAAATCTAAATTCGCCATCAACACCACCTTGTATAAATTCGCCTTGATTGCAGCTTCTCTGTAGTTAACGTTCTCTATTCGCCACACTATGATCAGGAAATGAATTGTGGAAGTTAATCAACAATCTCTACTTAAGTAATGGTCTGATTATGCATACTTCGCATAACTTCGCACAACTTCGCATAAACTTCAAACTGTCAACTTTCAATTACCCAGAAATTAGCAGAACTTTTAAAAACTTAGCGATCTGTTGAGTTTAGATTTTGCTTAAGTTACACTTTTAGTGCACTGGTACAAATGGTTGTGCGAAGTATGCATAATCAGACCCTAAGCCATCTGAAGAATTCGAAAAAACTTATCAGTGCTAAATGCAATTAGAATATACAATACGATATTAAAGCCTCATTTCGAATATTGTTCAATAATACTACTTTCATGTTGTAATAATGCGCAAATCGACAGAATGCAAAAGCTTCAGAATAAAGCTATGCGAATAATATTGAGATGCAACAAGTACACATCAGTCCGTCATGTGCTGGATGTCTTAAAATGGTTGAACGTGCGGCAAAGATTGGAGCTCAATACGCTTATGTTTGTATATCTGACTACTAGTGGTAAAATGCTGGACTACATATCGGAGAAGGTCATCTACGTTGGAGGAGTGCAGCCATATACATTAAGAAACGCAACTGACTTAAGACTACAGAAGCATGGCAAAGCGTCAACACAGAATAATGTATTCTATAAAGGCTTTAAAAGATTTAATATGTTAAATGAAGATACCAAAAAAGAAAAAAATGTACACTTATATAAAAGAAAATGTATAGAATTTGTGAGAAAATAGTTTAGACAGCTCAAAATAATGTTATGGTAAATAGTATCACTGTAATTACAAGTAATCAAATAT